TGTAATTTATTAATTTTTTAATGGCCAAAGTAATTATTTTGGTGTTGCTGACGCAGGCTCTTGGGCAGCATGGAATGTTTCCCTTTATTATAAAGTTGCCTGTTCAGAACGGCTGATCACCTAGTAAAAATTGTGCATGAGGCCAGCAGAATTCAAGCCAAACAGGTTTATGTTTTGATGTAGGACTGGAGAATGGGTGTTCACCCCAAAGTGAAGGATTTATCAAGGAATCTGGGAGAGAAACGTTCTCACTGTTGGAACTTTAAAAGCCTTTTTCACATCCTGCTTCCCTTTTCATTGTGCGGGAGCAACAGGTCAGGCATTGCCTGGGGCTGCCTTACAAATTGGCACCTGCCTTTGTGCCTTAGACCTGAAGGAAGTGGTGAGGAAAGGAGGCCAGGGAAATTTAATAAGTCTGTGCCTTTTGCTCCAACCTTCTGCAAAGTTAGCTTTCCTTGGAAATGGGGCTTTGATGCCTGGGGTGTGAGAGAGGCTTGAAGCACCTCGTGACTCAAGAGAGTGATTTGCTACACGGAGATAGATGACTGTGCAGGTGCTGGGCTGTGGGAGAATGCCGGCACCGAAAGAGGCAGGGAGTCGTGGACCTCTACCTCGTCCCTACCGTGACTTACATCTTTACACTATACACCGGACTCTCACAGTTATTACCTCATTTATTCCTAAACCCCTGCTCCCTCCCCCCAACCCTGGAAGAAGGCAGCCTATGGTTGGTATGTTTGACAAGGAAGATTCAGAGCTTGATTCCTCCTAGTGCTCATCACGCAGCTACGCAGAGATAGAGAGGAGGTTTGCACCAGAGGTTCTTCATACCTGGATCGGTGGAAATTTGAGTTTTTAAATGTTTCAGCTTGCTGGCCTCTGTGGAGCAGAGATGGTGGCTGTTCCTCATGTTATCTTTTGGCCTTGACTTTTCCTTTGCTCCCTTTTTCTCATATAATCAGCAACCTAAGACTCCTTACATGTCTTAACATTTGCTCTCGTATGCATAAATTTGATTTTTATTATACACTGCCTGACCCATGGTAGGAAGAATACGACATATTCCTATCCATTTTCCTTTAATGTTTCAGAGTGCAGCTCCACCTTTTCCTTAAACTTGTTCTCTTGTTTTGTTTGTTCTTTTGCGTTTTGATTAAGGCGTTTTTCTTCCCAGTCATCTGGAGCTGTTTTCAAACATCTCTTAAAGCACATCACATGCACCCCTCACTGGGCACTTGTTCTCACGCTGACACGGGATCGGGGAGAGAGTTCCTCCTTGGGAAAACCCAACTGCTTCTTCACATGGCCTTCCTCTCCTTGTGTCACAAGGATGTTTCTAATTTCAAATCACATCTTCTCATGGCCTTCTGATCCTATGGAAGCCACATAGCTTAAGAGAGGCTAATCACTGTCTTTCTCTCTCTCTTTTTAATGTTAACATTCTAGTACAAAATTATCCACTACTTCCTCCTAAGCTCTGTTGTATCCCCAGCAAATTATATGTATATCTTTGTTTGAAAAACAAAAAGCTTGGTTTTGGTTTCTAGTATAGTTTTCCAAGAAATGGGTTAGTTTTCCTTGCAGAAACCTGACAGCGTATCCCAAAGCCTCTCATTTCTCTTTTGAGTTGTGGTTTTTTCTGTGTGAATGGGCAAAGCCAAATCACTGTCACCAGCAACAAGCCTTAAGCACCAGCTGACAGCCTGAGATTTTGCGAAGTGTTCTCTAAAGTAAATCAGACAGTAGATCCTGGCCCCTGGTGGCTTACAGTCTGAAATCGGCAACACGGACATAGGCAGATATGAGAGCCTGGAGAAAACCGAGGACCGCATTGAGAAAGTGCAGACAAGGCGGAGCCATGTGGAATCCACTCCCTGCTTATCTTCTAATTAAAGGACCCTCAGTGGAAAGAGTGGCATTTGGGTTTAAATGAATGAAGAGGTGGTATTTAAGAGGTTGATGTTCCCAGCTTAGCAATCATCAAAGAAGATGCAGAGTGATAGGTGTGCCTTGATTGATCAGATGAATGGGGGGCATTGAGTAGCTTTACTGAGAGGAATCAAGCTGACCAAGGGGAGGGAAATGGGAACGTGAAGCCATTACCAAGCTGTGAGATGGTGAGAACACTGGGCCTAGTCTACAGAACAGGGAAGACCAGAGGTGGCAGAACAGTTTTCGAAATAACAAATAGAAAGGACATTTAGGCGATATGGCTGAGGAATGAAGATGTTAGACCATACTGCCCACCCCACCCCCCCAAAAAAAACAACAACCGTACACCATGAATTTTAGGAGAAGAAAAGGCAAAATTAAAACCACAGTAGCATGATCCCAACGATGGGATGGTTGTTCATCTTACCGCTGAAGGAAGCACTCCAGAACAAACACAGTAGTTGTAGCGGTTATCCCTGACTGGTGAACATCAAGAGCAATTTAAATTTTCAGGACTTTTCTGTATTGTGTAGGATAAGCACTTAATGTTTTATAATCAGGGGGAGAAAGCATTTTAAAGGGGAACATATTATCAGCACAAAAATGAGCAGAGCATACAGACTGAAGTTGGGCTTACATAGGTGAAGGTGGGGGCAATGAGGTTAAAAGTAAAAAATGGATTTAGTAAAAAGCAAGGTGTGTGAGAGGAGGAATGAAATCAGCCTTAAAAGTTACTCCAGAGTGATTCATTTGGACAGTCGGTAACGTGGCAGTGTTTTTTGCTATAGTTGAGGAGCCAGACATGAAGATTTAGATCTTAATTTGAGTTGGTTACTTGGCATCTAATATGGATAATCGCCTGGACAGAGTCTGTAGGTGGGCAAATGGCTGGCAGAACTTAGAGGAAGGTTTGGAAGCAAAATAAGGAAAAGGAAGTAAAAGTAGAGAAACAAATGGGAGATAGTGTTACCGTTACAAAGTAACTACCTTCATTATAGCTTTTTAAAAAACAATCATAAGGAAAAGATTAGATGCCTCACATGGACACTGGTGTTATACTGTACTTTTCCCCCCTTGAAAAACTGAGGGAAAGAGAAAGAACTGGAGAATCCTGAGTTTTGGACCTGCCTCTGGACCCGAGAAAGCCAACAGCATGGCCCTTAATAAGCATGCAGTTAATCGAGTAACTCTCCTGGGCATCCATTTGCTCGAATATAAAATGAGGAACTTGGGTGCGGTGGCTTTTGTGGTTCCTCTTCTCAGTCAAGCATTTAACAGTTTGGGGGTCGATAAGATACAGAAGTTTGGGCTGGTTGGAAGTACATGATGTGGCTCTTGTCTTCTCTCTCTTTTTTTTTCCAAGATTTTATTGGGGAAGGAGAACATTGTGTTTTTCCAGGACCCATCAGCTTTAAATCAAGTTGTTGTCCTTCAATCTTAGTTGTGGAGGGCGTAAGCTCAGCTCCAAAACCAGTCGTCGCTTTCAATCTAGTTGCAGGGAGGCACAGCCCGCCATCCCATGTGGGAGTCGAACCGGCAACCTTGTACAGCTGAGCCATCCAGCCATCCATTGGCAGCACAGCTCGGGCGCAGCTCAGTGCCCCATGTGGGAATCGAATCAGTGACCCTGTTGCTCAGAGCTCACGCTCTAACCAACTGCGCCATCCGGCCGGCCCTCATCTTCTCTTGAAATATCTGTACTCACAGTGGACAGAGGCATCTGAACACATCCCTGGATGAGCTGACTGAGAAACAGGCAACATGACAGCATCCAGATTCCAAGCTTTCATTCTGGTTGGAGGGATGGGCCAAACTAGGAAGAAGTTTAATAGGATTAAACATAAAGTCCTCCTTATGTTATTTCTTTAAGGCAACAAATTAAGTTACAAGAGACCTAGGCTAATAGCAGTTCCTGTGAAAAAGTATGCAGGCTTTTGTTACCCACAAGCTCAGTTTGAGCCAGGAGTGTAAAGAGGGTGTCAGAAAAGCAAAGGTTACGTACAGTAACTGCTGTGTAGTGTTAAGGAAGTTTGACAGATTGGAGCCTAGCATCCGTCAAAAAAAACCCAAGCTCCAACCTCACCGGACCTCAATAAATGTCACTGGGTGTGGCTACAGCTGTTGAATCTGGATGGATTCATTGTGTTCTCTGATGAATCTCTGAATTTGGTGGAAATTTTTAGGCATTAGAGATCTGTAAAAGAAATGGTATTAAATCGTTGTCGAAAAGCGGTGACTTTCCTTTAGGACTAACCTCCCTAAAACACAATACATATCTTGTGGTTTTCATTAGATAATGAACAGTTTCAGCATCTTTTTGGGCACGCATCAATTCTCAAGGCCTCCCCATGGCATCATTTTGGCAGCAAAAATTACTTGATGAAGACTTTAGTTGTTAATTGTTCTACACACATCTTTTAAATGTGTAGGAATTATTGTAAATATTTTAAGCCTTTAGAACAGGCATTTATCCATGTTCCCTAAATCCTGGGCCGTAGGGGTAAGTAAGTGAATAAATTTGGGGATCCATGAACCCCTAGAAAATGTACATAATTTTTTACGTATGTGTAACTTTTTTCTGGGAAAGAGTCCAACACTTTCATCAGTCTCAAACAATTCAAAAACAAGTCCCTTCCCCCGCCACCTATGTAATTTGCCTACTTCCTAGTGTGTAAACAGAGAGGCACCTTGGTGGTGGTGTCCCATCTTGGGAGAACAGATCCTCCTTGAAATGCCAGTGACCTGCCATCAGTACGGATTTAAAAGGATGTCACATACAGAGTTCCAAAAACATTTTAATTGAAATCTTACCATTAGAATAAATGAGAACTACCCCCCTCTTCCTGACCCCACACAATAAAATTAGTTTTGGTTTTAAAAAGAAAATTCAGATTTATTACTTGCAGAATTTGGGTGATTTTGTTTTTTTCCCTTCCCCTTGTAACTTGTGAGTACAATTCAGTCGTCTTCTCCAGGAATATTTTGTTCTGAGGTAAGTTCCAAAGAAGTTTGATCTTCTCAATGGGATATGTGTTTCATGTGGTTTTTCTTCCTTTTCAAACGGACAGGGTGCCAAAGCATGCTTTCTGCGGGACATTCCTTTCTCGGCCATCTACTTTCCCTGCTATGCTCATGTGAAGGCTTCCTTTGCAAATGAAGACGGGCAGGTTAGCCCCGGAAGCCTGCTCTTAGCTGGCGCCATAGCTGGTGAGTGCCCCTCACAGAGCTCTGTTACCACCCCCCACCCCCTTGCCACTGCATGAGTTTTTGCTTCCAGTTCTGACGGCACATATGAGATGGCTATAGATTGCTTTGAAGGGCTACTGAAAAGAAAGGGAAAGAAATTAACCTTACTTCTGGCAGATTAGACTATTCATTTAATTTCTTAACTCCAGAAAAGTGTCATTAAAAATTGGTGCATTTTGGGGTATTGTTGGATTCCAATTCAAGTTCCATATCAATCCATAGTTTAACTTCATAGAATAAGAATGAGAACTGTTAAGTCAGAAGTATTAAAAATGTTTAATGCTTGTGCCTTCGTGGTATTTCTAAGCAAAATAGTGTATAAAAGCTTGTCCAGAATTGAAGCGATAATTATTATCATTTAGAGAAAAGAAATGTAGAACAACCAAAAATAACTTGGTCCTTATTAGATACCTGATTCCTACCAGCTATGTGAGGTTATAGGCACTGGGTGTGTGTGTTAATTGAATCCGAGAGAGAAATTATCTTTTTTTCAGTGTTAACAGTGAAAATATCAACAGAAAAAAAAAAATAGATGTGGACCTTGGCTTCTACACCCCAATGTAAATCCCTAGAGGAAATTTGATTATAGCCACAGCAGGAATCAGTTTGTTCTTTGATGCTCCTCCTTATCCAGAGATCCTAAAGGCCGGAACAATCTGGATTAGCTCTCCAGGTGGTGACAAACATTTAATGAGTTAACAAACCCTAAGGCAGTCAGGGGATGCCTGGGTCCAAACAGTTGATACAGGGGTTGTTCTCATCAGATATGTGGCTTAAGTCTCCTGAGAACAACTCCCTGCTTTGAGAAGTTGGTGCTGTTTTGTGGGCCCCACGGCCTGCCTGTAGCCTGGGGGCCCCTGGAGGAATGAACCAAGGTAGCTTCTCTTTCATTCTTAATTAATTCTTTTTCTCTCAAAGCAGCAATGTTGGCATAGGAGGCAGGACTGTACCTTCCTGGCTGCTCAGGAACTCTGCTTGTATGAGTGGCAATGAGACGACTCTCCCTGTATCAGGAAATCATGATTTCAAGACTAGAATATCAAATTCTCAGTGTTAATTCCAATTTAGCTGTTGACTCACTGTGTCTTTTATATGTCATTTACATATGTGTAAATGATAAATATTTTTTGAACCAAAAGGTTAGAATACAATTTGTTTCAAATTACTTACTTGAAATAAGGTAGGACCCAATGGGGAGAACCAACATACCTCTTAGTAGTGTGTGACTTTGGCCAAGTCACATAACCTCCCCTAAGTCTTGGTTTCCTTGGCTATAAATGGAGATGGTAACTGTCCTGACTAGAGTGTGGCTGTGAGGCTTAGTGAGAGCACCCGTGTGAAGGACTTAGGGACTAGCATGCAGTAAATATTTAATAAATGTTAGCCAGTAGTTCATTGAATCCAAAAGAACCTGTCTGTGTAAATCACTCCAAAAATCAATGATGAAATCAGAAGGTAAGTATTAGAGTTCAGATCCAACCTTTGCTGTGTTCACACTACAAAATTAATTGCCTTTTACTCTTCCGTCAGAGAAGATAGCTACTCAGATGTGATTTCTGGGTAGTAATCCTTACCACCAGAGTTATAGAAATTATGAGTAGGTTTTTTTTTCTGTTAAGGTTTATTTTCTTCCTTTTTTTTTTTAAGGAGGGCACAATTCACAGTGGCCCATGTGGGGATCAAACCAGCAACCTTGGTGTTATTAGCATCAGGCTCTAACCAACTGAACTAACAGGTCACCCCTCTTTTTTTTTTTATTACTATGAAAATAATATTGCTCATCATAAAATATTTGGAAAGTACCAGAAAGGGTAAATAGGAAATATTATCCATTATTCTACGACTCTAAGATATTTTACCCTTTTTAACATTTTTGCTAATTTTCTCCCCCTTGATGGTTTTTAACAGAGTTGCAATCACACTATACATATGTGGTTTTCACTTAATATCATATCTGAAGCATTGTTAGCCATCAGAGCAAAATGGTTCATGGCATGGGCTGTAGGGTCAGACTACCCAGCTTCAAATTCTAGTTTGTTCACTTAGAACTGTGTGACCTGTGCAAGTTATTTAATCCTTCTCTGCTGCTTTCTTCATATATATATATATATATATATATATATATATATATATATATGGATAAGAATAGTCTTAATCTCACAAGATTATTATGGGGATTAAGTGAATTAATAGATATAAAGATCCAAGAAAGTACCTGGCACTTAATAAGTATTTTTAAATGTTTGATGATAATATTAATTTTATTATATGTCATTTAAAATTTTGCAAACATAGCTTTTAATTGCTGAATACTTAACTAATTTTCAATCTTAGATAACAAAATTTTTTCAAAAAAATTTAAATACATGGTGTAAAAAATACCTTTGTGCTTAAAGGCTTTTCCCCTATTTTGGGGAAACATTCTCTTAAGTGAGTTTGCTGGTAAAATAAAGAAAGAGAAAGAGAGAAAGAGAAAGAGAGAAAGAAAGAAAGATTGTTTTTAAGACATTGCCACATTATTCTTGAAAGTTTTCACTACTTCACATCCCCCATGCTGCTGGTTTTTTAGCCCTATGGCCATCCTGTTGTCTTTAGAATTGGTTTCCAGATACCTTCTATATTTGTTATTTATTGATGCATTAACAAATTACCCCAAAACTTACAGCATAACATAGCAAACATTTATTATTTCAAAGTGTCTGTGGGTGGGGAGCAGCTTATCAGGGTGCCTCTGGCTCCAGGTCTGTCATGAGGTTGCAGTCAAGATGTCAGCCAGGGAGGGCTCTAGAAGACTTGACGAGTTGGAGGATTCATTTTCAAGATGGTTCAATCACCTGGCCATTGGCAGGAGGCCTCAGTTCCGGGCCATGTGACTTCTTCTTAGGTCACCTTGGATGTCCTCATGACATGGCAGCTGGCTTCTCCCAGAGCAAGATCAAGGAAAGAGAGGAGAAGAGAGAGGGAAGGGAGATGGGGAGGGAGGTGAAAAAGAAGGGGGGGTTGGAGGGGAGAGAGAGAACGCAAAGCAGAAGCTTCCATGTCTTTTATGACCTAGCCTTGGAGGTCACACGCCTACGTTTTCATACTGTCCTATTGGTTATAGTGATTAGCACTGTGTTAACAGGCGATGAGATGAGACAGAGGCAGAACTGTGAATACCAGAAGGTGAAGATCATTGAGGGTCATTTGGGTAGCTGGCTGTCACACTTACTATGGAACGTTTACTTTCATTTATTGTCCATCTTCCGCCTGTTGTTCCACTTCCATGGCAAGGAAAATATAAGACGCTTTGTCGTATTCGTTTTTTCTTCAAAGAGCAGATCAGCTGCAAAGTTTAACACTCTTGTAGATTCCACAAATCTGTATAAACTATGCAATGAGAACTAAACTACCTTCTTAATTTAATAACAGGTATCAGAAGCCCATGGCAAATGCCATAACTACTATTCTCATTACCATTAGGGATAAAACAAGAATGTCTCTATCATCCTTGTTTTTCAGCCTTATTTTGGAGGTTCCTGTCAGAGTGGTAAAATAAGAAAAAGTAAGAGGCAAAAAATATGAGAAAAGAAGAAATGAAACTATGATTATTTACAAATATTGCTTACCTGAAAATCCAAATGAAAATGCCTAAAATGTATCAGAATTAATGAGAAAGATTAGTAATGTATTTTGTTAAAGATGGACATAAAAATCTATATTAATGGTAAGCAGTGAACTGATGTCACGGCCGGAAGCAGGGCGATCAGCTGCCAACTGCAGAACCTCGCTGGCATGCTGGGCCAGACTGCTGATCTCAGTGTGGAGAAGGGCAAGGAAACTTTGTCCAGAAGCGTGCCAAGTGCTGCAGCACCACGCAGGGAAGCAAGCACAAAAATGCACACCCGTATGGGCTGGTGGGTGGAAGATAGGTCAGGCCCCCCATTTGTCTGGTGATAACAGTGCCAGCAAAAGTATTTCCTATGGAGAGGACACACAGGTGGAGTATGTACAGGATCCAAGGAGGTATATCCCAAGGCCAAAGTGATCTTGGTTTCCATTAAGAGAAAGGGGAAAATTCTGAAAGCAAACCAATAAAATGCACCTAAGCCATCAAAAAAAAAAAAAGAGAGAAAGGAGAAAAGCTTATCTCAAGCTATGATGACTAGTACTTAACCACTAAGTATATATTTTCATATTTTATATAAAACAGATTTTATATAAAATATAATTGTATATTTTATATTTAAATTGATCTCTTACACAAAATACACAGAATATGTTTTGTTGAACAATCCTATTATAAATAAGATGGGTCTGGGATTAAATGAATATGATTATGCTCTCTATGTTTTGATAGTAATTTCAGTTATTCAGTAAGTACTATCTTTTTCCAAAAATTTGATTTCGAGATAGATTGCTTTAGTAATATGCAACTTTTTAACAGTTGGTTGTTGCTATCTCAAAACCTAGAAAATACTGTTTTTAAAGATTTATATACCTATTCATAAATTGGGAATATCTTTAAATACTGGGAATATCTACCTCAGTAATTCACAGGGTAGAGTAAGACTAACTGCTATTTGAATTTATGTTCATGATGCAAAATACCTCATTATGTTAGAAGGTGAGGTTTGAAGGAAGGAGCCTGAAATTAAGAAACCAAATTCTAATTCCCTCTGATTAACATGTTGCTTTTTAATTAATGTAGGGCATTTCAATATGGCTTATAGATAATATCAAATAAAGGGTATCTCATACTCCTTATAGATAATAGAACGATCTCTCATGCCAGATGATCTTAATTGTCAGAATGATTAACAGGTCATTCTGTAGTGACTACGGTCTTGTCTTTCAAATAATTAGCTTAGACTAAGTTGTGATTCAGGAATATCTTTAAAAGTTGTTCATAACACAAACATGGAAGTATTATGTGTGTGACTGATCGTGACGCTTTCATAGATGTATTCCAAGAATTAAGATAGAAGAGTACTGTTGGCACAGATTCGTTAATTATGTCGCCATAAAGCTTAAGATCATTTAGAAGCAGATCCTTACAAACATGATGTAATGGAGAGGTTGGATTAAGGTAATGGACTGAGCACATTCGCCATCTCTCCTCGCCTCCCAACTACCTTAAAATGTCAGAAAATACATTTTTAAAAACTCCTTATTGGCACTAGAAAATGTCAGTGCCAGCCCCCAGAAAAGCAGGAAACAGAACCATATTCCTATTGACTCAAACTGGACTAAAGGATGCCACAGCCCGCAACACTGGCAGGAAAAACTACTTTTATTAATGTAAGAGCAGAACCAGAGAATTTTTAACCTCTGAGTGAACAATAGCATTCCTAGAGGTGGGGAGGGATGGAGGTTTTAGGGTAAATCATTACAAGAGTTAAAGAATTGCTTTTACTGCAGAAAGGTCGGGCTTGGTCCACTGTCTTCTCCTTTTTATAGGGAGTTCAGGCAACACTTGACTCCAGCCTAAAAGCCCAGAGCTGCATTCCAAAGGAAGGGACTACTTACCAGGAGAGGGCAGTTGTAAGGAACTGAAAGAAAGAGCAAGACTTAAGATAATTGCAGACCTTCACCACAGACGCAGAAAAAAAAAAACGAATAGCTGCTTTTCCCAAGATGGGTATAAAATAATTCCTTCTACTTCCAGAATGAAGCAATTCCATATTTCAGATTTGGAGATCTCAGCCCGCCAGCTAACGTAGTCTCTTGTATTCAGTTTACTGGCCTCACCCATGTCACAAACCCCGCAGACAGCCCACTCATTCGGGAGAGAAGCCTGTGGGTGACACTGACCTAGGGTATGGTCGAAGCACAGCCCTAATCAGCCTATCCTTTGAACTTGAATACCAATAGACAGCCAGAGGTCCTCAGACAAGACAAGACGGAGCAATAAGGTAAGTAAACAGAATTACAGAGAAAGCAGGCAATTCAGGGAACAGAGAAGAACTTTTAAGAACTATAATTAGGGTCCTCAGATTTTAAAGGAACAATCAGTAAAGAAGCTTTCTTGAAAACTAATAACAGGATTGCCAAAATTAAAAATCCATAGATGGTTTGAATGATAGAATGGATGTGATCAAAGACCAAACTAGGCATCTGGAAAATAAAGTCCTGGGGGGGAAAAAAACCAAAAAAACCAACAGCACTCTAGAATATGGAGCAAAAATACAGAGATGACAAATAAAAAAGTTTAAGAGACATGTTGGATTGATCCAGGAGGTCTAACATTCATTTAATAGGCATTCCCTAGGGAGAAGTAATGAGGGACGGGAGACAGCACACAATTAGTAATAGAAGGTTACTTCTCATCTGCAGTACTGGATACCTTCAAAGTGCCAAGGGGAGCGGATTACATCCCGAAGCATGCTAGCATTCGGGAGGGAGGGCCAAACTCAAGTTACTTTCTTTCTCCCGGGCCAGGACTCAAAGGTTACCCCTCAGACCTCTCTGAGACAAAATGAAAAGCGAATTTAAGAAAGAGGGATAGGAAATAAAAAAAAGGGAAATGTGGGATCTATGAAACAGAGCAAATAAAGTTAAACCTGAGAGTAGATATAAAACTGCTAACTTTGGCACATATGTATTTTTTTACAAGAACGTCATTGGGAGGCAGATAAAGGAAAGGAAAGACAAAAGTAGAAGTGTGTTGAAGTCCTCACCTTGCTGGTGAGGGATGTAAATGTTAATGGTACACATTGTAAATATTACACTTATGTAATAAATGCATAGAATATTTAAATAAATGAGTAAGGAAAGGGTGGAGATCAAAAGGGAAACAACTAGAAACAGAGAAAAAAAACCATAATAGAGGATAGCAGAAATAATCACAATAACAGCCACAACTGAATGGATTCAATGCCCTTAGTACAAAAGAGACACTTTTAGACGAGTCGTGAAAGGAAATCTAGTCACGTGAAGTTTGAGAAAACAGTAACAGAAAAATTGAAAGAGAATGGATTGAAAATACGTGCCAGGCAAACAACAATAAGCAAGTTTAGCAATATTAATGTCAGACTAAGTGGAATTGGGGGTTAAAAATAGCATTCAGAAGCACAGAGGCATATTTTAAACTTATAAAAGATAAAATTCACTAAGAAGGTAGATTGTCATCAACCTCTATATAGTATCAACATAACATTGTTTTATAAAACCTGAACTTAAAACTATGACAAGAACACAGTATTTTCTCATGCTAAATGAGAATCTTTACTTCTATAAAAGCTGATACATCAAATAGATAATTTAGATAAAACTCTGAACCTTGATCCAAAATGAATAGATATTAGCATTCAACCTATACACAGAAGCACAGATTTTATGAATATTAATGGGATATTTATGAAAATTAAGGATAACCCTCCTGAAGTTGTATTTTGCCGGTTATGCTTGCTTTTTCTACTCTTTAGTTGCTGGGCCCCCTTAAAGAGTGACAATTTTTTATTGGCTGGAGAGCACCCCAGATTGTTCCTGTCTCATAGGTAGTGTGTGGTCCCAAGGTCTCACCATTTGTCCATCACTGAAGCATCACATAGACTGCCCGTCCCCTCCCTCCTGAGGACCCT